TGGAGTGTCCAGAAAAGCGCTATAGAAGTGAAAGCAATTATAATTATTACTGAGGCAAAAGCCAGGGTGATTTCTTCAGGTGGAGCCACTACAGAAGTGCTTTCAATTCACATCATGCCTTTGAATCCTTACCAGACACATTCAGCATGTCATCGATTCTCCCAGTGATCCAGTAATACCCATCCTTGTCCCTCCTGCAGCCTGGAAGAAAATGACCAATATGACCACATTTTATTTGGATTTTTTCCAAATTGCTCATGGTAGGTTACAGATACAACGTCCCAGAGATGAGGTTAGTAAGAAGACAACGAATTATAGTTTTTTTTAGTTCACGAACTGGCAATGGGTGAGGTGCACTTTGGATAGATTACAAAGAAATACCGCTACTCATTTTCCCTCGTGAAAAGTCACATCTCAGCAACGTTTCCAGGACCTCTAATATCAGTTGCATTCACAAGAACATTCCACTTGTTCTCCTCTATTTCCCAATCTAGCCAGTCCTCAACCAACTCCATTTACAGTGAGAGGCTACATACAGTACCAGTACGGGCCCTCTCATCTGGACCTGACAGCCCTTTGCCATGCTGTGATTGTGTAGGCAGGACAGCAGCATCTGGAAGAGTGAAGTGGCTCTCACTGACAACACCCCGACTTCACGCCCATGGGTCTGTGTTGCAGTACCTTGAGACCAGCTTGGTCCACTCAAGCCCACCTTATCCCTCCAGCACCTGGCCAGTTAAGTGCTTTCAGACTCACAGTCTCAGCCCTGAAGCTCTGTGATGCAGATTTTAGATGTTTATATAAAAACCAGTACAAAGTCATAAACTGTTTCTTCGTTGTTCTATTAAAAAAATGAAGCACTGATAGCCAGGGTATGGAGTTTTGGCTCCTGATAACTTTCTGGGCAAAATTATACTTAATACAACAGGCACTAGTTGAACTAGAATCATGGGCACCAATTCCAGTATTCAAAATCCTCAAGGACACTGACAACGTTAAGTCTGTGTCACCCTTCAGAATCAGCCATGAGAGACAAACCTGAAAATACAAACTGAAACTCTGGATAAACAAATGTATGATTCTGAAGGTGTCCTCTGGATTCTGGGTTAGTGCCCCTTTGAGGTTTTTTAATATTGTTTGGATCAGGCCACCTTGTAATCATTTCTGATAAAAGACTAAAAAGGAACAAGTAACAGGTTTATTCCACGGTGAAAAGAGAAGAGAGAAAACACAAAGTTTTGGCTGTGAAGCCCTCTTCAGGTGTTGACACCTCTTTTCAGCA